AGGTGTGTGGACGAGATGATCTCTAGGGGTCCCTTCCAACCCTGACCAGTCTGGGATTCTGTGAATGATGAGGTTGGTTTATTATACTTAGCTCCACTATCATTTGTTGGCCAGGTCTGTGTCTCTGTACACTTCATTTATCTCCTCCCTCTTTTCCTTGTCGTCCCTTTTGGCAAGGTCCCTGGCCAGGTCCCTTCACCCAAGCCGATGCTCCCACCTCCCGCGTTCCCTCACACTCCTGGCCGGGGATGGGAGGGCGCCGGACCCGGCTGGGCTGAGCATCCGGCGGGGCTGCCTTCCAACACATCCCAGGGCAGCAGCTTTCCCTGAACAAACCATCCTCGGTGGCCTCGCCCTTTGGCCGGGGAGAATTGCTTTTAAACAATTTTTAAGCTAGTGCTGGGCTTTGCTGTCAACCCTGCGCAGCCTCTGGGTGTGAATCCCGGCTCCATCACCTCCCTCCTTCCCGCTGGTGCCTCCGAGCTCTTCCTGGGGGATGTGCACACCGCTGCCGCTATCCATCCCCTCGCAAGCCGGAGGAGAGCCGTGGGAGGAGGCTGCGATATGCCGCCATAGAGGGTGCCTGGGGCAGGGATGTGCCTGTGGACGTTGCTGGAAGAGCATTTCCGGAGCAACAGGATTGCCAAAAAAACTCCAAATCACTCAACGACTTTCATTTTTGAGCAGAGGCAGCGCAGGAGGAAACGAGTGGCAGGCTGGGACACAGAGTGACGGTTTGGGTTGGGTTTTTTTTTTTTTTTGATTTTCAGACAGGGAAACGCTTAGCTCAGCTCTGCGTGACTCCTCCAGACACACCGGGTGACGGCCGAGCAGCTCCTGCCCCAGCTCAGAGCCCATGAAAGAGCTCGGGGCCTCCAGGTACGTGGCGTCTCTCGGAAAGCTGCAGTTTGAAATCCCTTTCTGCCATCGCCCTGAATTGGTCGCGGTTTTTCCCTCTCATTAACAAAGCCGTGACTAAGTCAGCGAGTCATAAGAGGGTTTGGGGCGGAGGGGGGGGAGTTCAGAGCAGGGCCAGGTCCCTGCTGGGTGTTGAATTAGCGTTTGGGTCATTTTGCTTTCCCTGGTCTGAGACCTCCTCCCACCCTCGGTGCAGTGGCAGGGGATGAGCTACCGAGTCCCAGATTTGTCTCGGAGGAGGAGTGCATTTGGTCTGGGCTTCTCCCTCTTGTCCTGTGCCTTGCCATCTCGTTCTTAGGGCTGGATAAGAAAAGCAAGGGCTCCGTATTAAAACAAATGCCACTTTTCATGGAATTAGAGGAGATGTTGCAGCTTGTCCTTTGTTTCCCCATGGGAAATTCCTACAACTTTTTATGCCAGTTGGGTACTTGGTATGTAAAGCACTAAAGTCAGGCTGACGATGGAAAAATCGATTTCAACCTTCAGCATCTGAGGCTCTTCCCTAGCCGTTACAAAAAGGGGCTGCAATCAGCAATAAACCCCTTTAAAAGTGAATTCTGCCTTTTTTTTTTTTTTTTTTTTTCCTTTTTTCCTTCTCTACAGCTGACTTGCACTTAAATCAATCTTCCTTTGTTCCTCCTCCCTTTTGCCCTTTCCCTTTCCTTCCCTGTCTCTAGGTTGTGCAACAGCGAAGAGGATGCTCTCCAGTTCCCACCTCTGCTGCTCTCTGCCAGCTTTCATCATTTATGGTTTAGTTCTCCAAGTTCAGGAGCTTCAGTCAGGTAGGGATCCCCGTGGTTCTTGCTGATCCCTGCGGCATTGCTTCCAGCCTGAACCTCCTCCCAGCTGCCATCGCAGCTACTCCCCATGAACGCAGAGCACAGAGCAGGATTGGGCCCTTTGCCGTAAACCGCATCCGCTTCTGAGCACGCCAGCATCCCTCTGGCTCCTGGCTTATTCCTCCAGCACAGGCACTCGCACAACCTCGCTGAAGTCAGGGGGAGATTAGATGATGCCGATGAGTTGATTATAGTTTGCTGCCATTTCCCTCCCTGATTTCCCTGTTCCTGGCATGTTCCCAGCACATCATCGCTTTACTGGGCTGTGTCCAGGGTGCGCTGGACCCTTTGCAGCACCAATTCAATAAAGGGAAAAAAAAACCCACACAAAAAAAAATCTTTTATAAATTATTCTAGGCTCTTTTTCTGTTAGATTGCTGACCTGAAGCAGCTCCTTCAAGGCAGCCCTGGCAAAAGGATGCAGCACAACAGTTGACTCGAAAGTTACCTTGCCAAAAAGAAAAAAAAGTTGATTTGCTTTTGTTTTCCTCTAACCAGAAACCACTTTCTCTATGAGTTGAGTGGCCAGCTTATTAATAAGCTTTTTTTTATAAATTCCAAAAGATGCCCAGAGTATTTTTATTTTCTCTTGTAATAGGTGTGAATAGCTGAGGATATTTGAGTTATTTGTGTACCCATGTTGTCTGCTTTCCCCAGCCAACCACCCAGAAACCTTCCAGCCACTTCCTTCATCCTGCTTTCCCCCAGCCCCGAGCAGCACGGGCAGCAGTTGCCCCCTTGAGAACAAATCATGGTTTAGGGATTTGAAGAGCTTTCACGGTAGCAGAGGCTTCGTCTCCCCCGCCCCCGAGCAAATTCACAGTTATTTCTTCTTCCTCCGGGGTTTTCTCCCAGCTCCGTTCAACGTGACGGGACCCCCCGGCCCCATCACCGTGGCCATGGGTGAGGACGTGGTGTTGCCTTGTCGCTTCTCCCCGGCCCAGAGCGCGCGGGACATTGAGGTGACCTGGTTTCGGGAACACTTCTCGTCCTTTGTGCATCGCTACAAGGGGAGCCAGGACCAGTACGGGGAGCAGATGCTGCAATACCAAGGGCGCACTGAGCTGCTGAAGGACGGCTTCGCCAATGGCAGCGTGGACTTGAAAATTTTCCGCGTCCAAATGTCTGACAGAGGGAATTACACCTGCTTTGTTCAGCGCGACTCGGATTATGACGAGGCTGTGGTGGAGCTGCAGGTGACAGGTCTGTAGTCTGTGGCCCTGGTACCTCTCGTTTACTTGCTCATAACCAGCGCTCTTCTTCCGCATCCTTCTTCTCAGCAGCATTTTCAGGTGGTTGCTTTGGAAATAGGATTTTATTAAGTCCCGTGGTTGAAAATACCAAGAATGTCTCGGAGAGGTGAAATTGCCTCCCGAGCGGCCGTAAGGAGCTCATGAGATATGCTACCTACTTCAGAAGTGTTCTTGATATTCTTCTCTTCATATAAGTGGGTGTATGAAAAAAAATTGGTAGTGGGTAATATAATAAGCATGTCTTGGTTTGTGCTTGTATATTTTAATATCCATGCCTGCAGATTGTTTTGCTGCAGTAGTAGCCTCCAGGGCAGATCTTTGAGTTATGTGAAAAAGAACCTGCAAGAAATGTCCTGACTCCAGGTGACACTTAAACCCCCCAAAAAACCTGGGATTTGTCTATGTCAAAATTCATCCCTTCTTGTCAGGGAAAGGAACAGCCAGGCCACCTTACCCCCCCTCCCGATATCCGGCATCCCAGGGTCACCGCGGGTCTCCGTTTTCCCACAGCCAGCGGCTCTGCCCCGCTCATCGTGCTGGAGCAGTACCAGGACGGGGGGATCCGGGTGGCCTGTCGCTCGGACGGCTGGTACCCGCAGCCCCAAGTGCTGTGGCAAGATCCCCACGGGCGGCATCTCCCATCCCTCTCGGAAAATGTTACCCAGGACGAGAGCGGCCTCTTTGCAGCGGAAAGCAGCATAATCCTCACCAGAGACGTGAACCAAAAACTCTCCTGCTCGGTCCGTCATGCCCTGCACAGCCAGGAACGGGGATCATCCTTTTACATATCAGGTGAGCAGAGGACGAGGGCATCGCCCTGGGAACGTTCCCGATGGAGCTGAGCTTGGAAAGCGCCGACAGCAGAAAAGCTCAGGTGCATTTTGCAGGCTTGCGTTCAGCGCATCGAGTGTATTTTGCACGCTGCGCGTGCAAACAGCTGCAGCTTTCGGCAGCATTTGTGCACGTGTGCTGCCAAAATTCACCAGTTTTGTCTTGGAGCGTGGGTAGTTTAGCGTGGGGAGGAAAAAGACAGCCCTCGTTGTAGCAGGGTTTCTATAGACACCTGGGTTATGTCCAAACATTCGTAACCCTGGCACCAAATGAAAAAGGAGGCGCCAACCGGTGCCCTTAGTCTCACCCGCTGCGAAATGCCGTTCTACAGGTTTGGTATGAGAAATAAATTGTCGTGTCTTGTTTTAGCATCTGCACATACTGAATATATTTTTATTTTTTTTCCTTGACACACAGAAAAGCTCCTTTTTGCTGGCAGATTGATTTGGGGCAGGGATGCAATGTCGAACTGCACTACCCAAACTGCACCGCAGTATCACGTGCTTTGCAGCTGCATCCTGTTCCTTTTTTGGTCTGGGAATGAACAATTTAAAAAAAATTTCCCTGGGAGGCCTGTACCTTTCTCCTGGTGATCCTGCTCTGCACTGGAGTGTTGCTGTTGATGCATATGTCACCCTGTTTCTGATCCTATGTTGCCTAATAAAATGCAGTATTTTTTTTCCAAAGGAAAAGAAAGCATGATTTAACTAGAAATAATTTGGTTAGAAATCCATTTTCCCTTTAAAACCGCCCCCCCCCCCCCATGAATGCAGACAAAAAACAAGTGCTAAATTGCCAAAATGGATTTTTTTTTTTTTTAGTATTATTTTTTGTCACTTTGTGAAGTACAGTCAGGAACTGATTTTTCACCCTTGATGGGATTCAGACCTGCTTGGGATGAGCTTGTGTGAAACAGAAATCACCTACTTCCCTTGGCTACTTGCAGAGTAACCTAACCCCTTCGGGACTTTATTTTTCAGATCCCTGCTAAATTGCCAAAATGGATTTTTTTTTTTTTTAGTATTATTTTTTGTCACTTTGTGAAGTACAGTCAGGAACTGATTTTTCACCCTTGATGGGATTCAGACCTGCTTGGGATGAGCTTGTGTGAAACAGAAATCACCTACTTCCCTTGGCTACTTGCAGAGTAACCTAACCCCTTCGGGACTTTATTTTTCAGATCCCTTTTTCCAAAACGCCCATCCTTGGATGACCGCCCTGGGTGTGGTCCTGGTTGCTGTGGTCGCTTTCCTTATTATTGCTGTTTATCTGTATAAAATTAAAGGTATCGTCCTGGCGCGGTGTTTGGGGAAGGGGGGGCTGGGCAACTGTCCTCTTCAGCCGCCTCTGGTTTTGACGAACAAGTGGGTTTGAGAAATTCCGGGATGGTCCCGGAGTCTTGGTGTCTTGGACACATGTACGGTGCCAGGGAACTTAAAGACCCAGGGGTTTAATTTCTGGCAAGAAAAGAAAGAATCATAGAATCATAGAATCTTTAACGTTGGAAAAGACCTCTAAGATCATGAAGTCCAACCGTCAATCCAACACCACCATGTCTACTAAACCATGTCCCAAAGTGCCACATCTACGTGTTTTTTGAACACCTCCAGGGATGGGGACTCCACCACCTCTCTGGGCAGCCTGTTCCAATGCCTGACCACTCTTTTGGTGAAGCAATTTTCCCTAATATCCAATCTAAACCTCCCCTGACCCAACTTGAGACCATTTCCTCTTGTCCTTTTGCTAGTTATTTGGGAGAAGAGACCAACGCCCACCTCTCTATGCCCTCCTTTCAGATAGTTGTAGAGAGTGATAAAGGTTGTTTCTCCAACAAAAAGGCCAGCAAAGAAGGAAGTGGGCATCAAAGCAGTGTGAGCCGGCCGTTTCTCTGCCCCAGCCGAGGATGGAGAAACGTTGCCTGCAGAAATGGAGCAATAATTTGCCTGGCCCTGCAAAAAAACCCTGGCACTTTTGGTGGCCTGGCAGGGCTCCCTTTCCTTCTGAAAGACCCCTCTTGGGGGGTAAATAATACAGAGGAATAAAGGAAATTGAAATCCTCTATTTCTTACCAAAAGGAGCTGGAGCTGGTGGGTCGTGCAGGTACTGCAGCACTGCCAGCCCCCGCGGCCCTTCTGCCTTGCAAGTGGCTGCAACTCCGGCTGTGGTTTAATCGGTGCTCTTTGGAAGGGATGCTTTTTGAAATTATTTACATTTCTTTCTTTCCTTCACAGGAAAGCATGAAAAAAAAATAGGTAAGCTTTACTTTCCATTTTCCAGAAATTTGAGAATTCCCTCAAATGGAAGAATTCATGGGGCACATTTCTGGGGGGAGATGGGGAGAGAAATGGTTTGGCTAGCAGCTAGAGAAAGTTGTGAAATTAATTTATGAAATTATGAAATGATGTTGTAATTTTAAGTAAAAACATTGCAGAACCAAAGAAAGCGTGAACAGATGTTGTACCAACAATGAACTTTGTTTTTCAAATGGCTCCCAAGGTTCTTCCCAAAGCTGGAGGAACCTTTAGGGTAGCACATGCCATTTTGCAGGGGCCTCAGCTTTGTCTCAGCGCTAAGCAGACACAGGGGCAGGATGCTTAGGTAGCACCGAAGGTGAAATGTAACCCCATGCTCCCCCTCCCCTTGTCGATTCAAACCTGCCCCTTCACTGCTGCCCTAGAGCTGGAGCCCTCTCCAGCACTGGCCTCTGCCCAAGGTGGGTTCGGGGAGGGTGGGAAAGATCCCCAAAAGTCTTGAGAAGAAAGGTCTTGAGGAGGTCCTGGGCTGAGGAGCAGTTTCAGCCTCCTCCCCCCTCCCCAGCAAGCGTATCGGGGAAAAAGGAATTTGCTTTGGTGGTGATGCTCTGGTCTGGTTTTGCTTTTCAGCGATGCAAGAGGCAGCACTGCGTAAGTCTCGCTCCCCATTTTCCCGGTGAAATCCTCTGTGAAAACTTTCAGACTTTTTTATTCATCCTCTCATTCTGTCTGAATGTTCTTTTCAGGCAGATGCTTTACATCCCCCCCTCTCCTGACCCCCTAATAATGTGAAAATTCACTCTGAAAAGTCATTAGGATTTTTTTCCCTGAGTGGCTGTCAGTGCTTTTAATTTTTAATTTTTTTACTCTTAATTTAAGTAGTGAGATAGTACTGAAAAGTTATTGTTTTTTAGGGGAAGATTATGGAAATCTAAGCTGCTGAGAGTTTTCTTATAAAGATGTAGATTGTTTGATTACCATAAATTTTTTTAAAAACCCCAAACACTTGAAGAGGGCATTTTTTTGTTGTTGTTATTGTTTGCTTGCTTGCTTGTAGCTCATAGAATTACCAAGAAATAGCCCTTTTGCTATTAAAAATCAGCTCTTGCTAAATTTTTGCCAATGCGGGCGAAAATAAATGATGGAGAAAATAAGCAGAGATCCGCTCGCTCAGGGATCACGAGCATCCTGGCAATCAGAGTGTAAAACAGGGCATCTGCCCCCTCCGTCACAGCCTCTCCTCCCCTGTGTGGTCCTTTAGCTGGGGTCCCGGGGAAGGGACTGTGTCAAATACTAACGTGCGTGTGTTTCTGTTTGTTGTTCAGGGGACTGCGATGCAGAAATCGGTGAGTCTCCTTCTATGCCACACAAAGGATTTTTTTTTTTTATAGAGTCTCTATAGGGTGGTAGGTTTTGGGTTTGTTTGTTTTTTGGTTGTTTGGTTGGGTTTTTTAATTTTCACTTTTAAAGTGTGACGTGAACCAAAAAGTGATTGGGGCATAGAGGGGGAAGGAGAGAGTGAATCTGAGAAGCAAAAAATTAAAGCTGGTTGAAGGTGGTGGCTGGGGTTGGGGATGGGTGACTGCAGTGGCGGCGCGGGGGGGGCGACTGCCCTGCGACAGGTCCCTTGTAGGCGAGGGACCTCCCAGAGACTTCTTCCCGCTCCAGATTGGAGCAGCACAACCCACACCATCACCTGCAGAGCTCCAGGCTGGGGGTGGGAGAGGTCTTTGCATTGCCAAGTGTTGGCAGAAACCTGCACACGCAGGCTGTTACGGGAGAGGTTATATCCCAGTCAATATCCCACAATATCCCATTTGCGCTGATTTATCTTCTTTTTCAGAGAAGCAAGCTGGAGAACTTGGTGAGTATGGTTCTCCTTCCTACAGAGGAGAGGCTTCAGTTGGGCCAATTTCTCATCTGGGTTTTGCACGTATGTCCTGGTTTTGGCTTTCCTTTTAGGAAAGAAAGAAGAAGCAAATGCTGAGCTCATTTCAGAAACAGCATTTTCCTTTGCTCTCTATGTGTTTTTAAGCTATTGCCTGTAATCCTTCTGTACTAAGAAGAAAATTCTTTCAGTGTTCAAAGAAAGTACAAATAGACCATAGATATACGTCTGAATTGGGACAGGCAGCGTGATTATATTTGTAGAAAATGGACGGAGCCCTTTCACGGGGGTAGACATTGAAGTTCTGAAGCTACGCACTGTGAGATGACTTTGACAAATACAGCAACAATTCAGAAAATGTGTGACTACACTGGCATATCATTATCCTGAGCTAATCCAGCACAAGTGTGTTCAGATTAAATCTCATCTGTGGTTTTTTTTGTTTTTGTTTTTAAAGCATGGAGAAGATACGCAGTGCCTATAGCAGCAGGTAATTAAAGTTTGGTCTTCCAGGGTGCTTAATCATCTTCCACGCTTTAATCTCCCTCCCTGGTAGTTGCAGTCCTGCAGGGATGCTGGTGGTACCAGGGATGGTTGTGCCAACCCTCAGTTTACAGGGGAAGGTGTAACACTCAGACCCCTTGTTCGTTTGGTGCATGCCCCAGTTTCAGGCAAATCTGGAGTGTCCTGATCCTCAGTGAGCAGTGCTGGCCATATTTTAGAGACATGGGGACTTCTTCAGCCTGGAGGTCTGCTGACAATCCTCTTCCCTCTCTGCTAGGTGTCATCTTTCTGCTTCATTTTTCGTTCTTTGCACTGATAGAATCACCTCGTGCAGCTTCCCATGCTGCAGTCTGCCAGCTATTGCTTGCACCTTTAGTCAGCAAAGATCTCTCCTGGGGCTCCCCAGTTCCAGACAGACAGGGAACTACTGGACAGAGTCCATCGGAGGGCTGTGAGGATGAGTAAGGGACTGGAGCATCTCTGGTATGAGAAAAGGCGGAGAGAGCTGGGGCTGTTTAGTCTGGAGAAGAGAAGGCTGAGAGGGGATCTGATCAACACTTATAACTATAAAGGGTGGGTGTCTAGAGGAAGGGGCCAGACTCCTCTCAGTGGTGCCCAGCGACAGGACAAGGGGCAACGGGCACAAACTGGAACACGGGAAGTTCCATCTGAACATGAGGAAAAACTTCTTCCCTCTGCGGGTGACCGAGCCCTGGGACAGGCTGCCCAGAGAGGTTGTGGAGTCTCCTTCTCTGGAGAGATTCAGAACCCTCCTGGACACCATCCTGTGCGACCTGCTCTGGGTGATCCTGCTTTGGCAGGGGGTTGGACGAGATGATCTCTAGGGGTCCCTACTAATCTGTGAATCTGTGAATCTGCCCTGATGTGTTGACTCCCTCTCTCCTGCAGTGAACGTGGTTCTGGATCCAGACACAGCCCATTGTGACCTTGTCCTGTCTGATGACTGCAAAAGTGTGAAACGAGAAGACACACGGCAGGACATCCCCGACATTCCGGAGAGATTTAACCCGTGGCGCTGTGTGCTGGGCCGTGAAGGCTTCACCTCGGGGAGATACTACTGGGAGGTGGAGACAGTGGATGGAGGGGGATGGACTGTGGGAGTTTCTAGGAAAGATGTGAAAAGGAAGGGTGAGATTGAGTTTAAGCCAGAGGAGGGCATCTGGGCAGTGGGGCAGTGGGCAGGGCACTTCCAAGCTCTCACATTCCCTAATCGCACTCTCCTTCCTGAAATCCAGACTCCCAAGCGGATCCGGGTCTCTCTGGACTATGATGAGGGACGGGTGGCATTTTTCAGTGTTGATGAGGAGATTCCCATCTTCACATTTCCACTGGCATCATTTGAGGGCGTAAAAGTCCACCCTTGGGTCTGGCTGGGTCCTGGGACTTGGCTCAAAATGTGGCCGTGATGAAGGGGAGGGAGCAAGAGAAGGCTTTTTTTAGGGGACCTCAGGAGTTCAGGCTCACAGAAGGAAGGAACTTGTTGAGGTTTCTGTTGCTGCTCACAGCAGGGCTAACCTCAAAGCTGCCTTAGGTGTCTTTGCACCTTGTTCAGCTGAATTGTGTAGGAACTCCAAGGGTGGAGATCTCTTTACTTCTCTGGACCTCTGTCCCGGTGCTGCGCCTGTCTCAAGGGGAAGAATTAACCCTTTATGTTTGGTCAGAGTTTCCCCAATTATAACCCATGACCGTTGCCTTTCATCCTTGCTGTCTACCTGTTGAACACCACTCCCACTGAACAGACAGTACCACAACAGGGATTTCTTTTTAAATGCACGGAATAAAGTTACTTCAGCGGGTTTTGCCTGTACGTGTGTCAGCGCCAAATGTCTGTGCCTGAGGCATTGTCCCCACCTCCTTTTAGCCCCGTGGGGAGCTGCAGGCACTTTGGAGAAAATGGTTCACCACATCCTGCAGGACACAACGAAGGCATGTCAGTGGTCCATGGCTGTGCTTGTCCCCACACCTGCCTGCAGCACAAGCCCAGGTGATAAGCTTACCTGTGACCTGGTGACATCTAACACTGAGATGGATCGCACCTTTGGTCACTCATTTTGGGGGAGGAAAAGCTGCTTTTTCTTACAGTGCTGAGGATCCTGGAGCAGGCTCAGAATGACCCATGTGGGCTGAAATGAAGCTGGAGAAATGAAAAATTAATATGAGGAAGGGCATCTCATATTGAGGAACTCCAGGTTCTCCATATTTTCAGGCAACTCTAGGTTATTTTGCAGTAGTGGAAACTGCCACCTGCAAGGGGATGATAGACATATGTGCTTCCTCTGAGGCCAGACATGCTTTTGCACCAGATCCTCCATTCAGCTGATGTCCAGCAAGCATGGACCTTCCCCAGGGAAGGCTTCACCGTTACTGCTGAATTCATGGGCTTCTCAGAAAGAGGATGCACTTGTATGTGTGTCAGGGTAGGTCTGTTCATGATCAGCCTAGGGCAGCTCCATTCTCCCACCATGGAGGAGCCCAAAGGGAGCAGCTCAGAGATGCTATTAGGGCTTTTGCCTTTCCCTCCAGACCTGCCCGGCCCTCAGGAGTAATGCTCCCAGAGGTTGGTGTTCATGTCTCAGCTTTGTTCCTCGCCATGCACAAGCCCACGCAATGCAGCAGATGCCAAATCAGCTGTGAGGCCTGCAGTAACTGAGGGGCTTGGTGAAGGATGCAGCACAAGAGCGTTCCAAAGCCCTGAACAGTGTCACAAGTCTACAGGAACAGGCAGCATGAGGGTGGCCCTACTGCCAGGGCTCTGAAGAGCAGTTAGACGTTCATGTGTCTAAAGAAGGCTGGTGTGAAGGTGAAGATACAGACCTTGCTGTCTGCACTGGAGAAGGAGCACTATGCTCCTCAAGCCAGGGGTGATGCAGTTGCATGTTTCTATGACCCTCGGGCACCATCACCTCATGATCTCCTTCCTATTTCCTAGAGTCACATACAGTGTTGATGAGGTGCTAAAGGATGTGGGAAACAATCTGGATCACCTTGTTCCCTCCAAACACCCACTCGAAACAGTCTGCAGGTGAAACCAAGGTTGGGGCAACAACCTCATGGGAGATTGACCCCTAGGGTGTGGGAACAGGCTCTGGAGCAGTGGAGGATCAATCCTGACCTCCTCCTCACTGCTCGTAACCAGCCATGGGAAGAGTGTGCCTGCAGATGATTTCTGACCCGTCCACCCCTTTCCTCTGGTACAGGCTGCCCCTTCCCCTTCAACAAGGCTTGTTGCAGTGGACTGCTTGGGTCTTCTGCTCCTTCTTCTTCAGGGAGTGAAGCACATGGGGTGAAGGACATTTTGAGGGTTCAAAGTGTCCCAGTGCATTTATCCACCTGGAAAAGGGAGACAGAAGCAATGATAAAGGCTGTGGGTTGGGAATGTGGGGCTGTGGCATGGAAGACCGACTGGTGGTGTCATGGGGGATGCTGTAGGTCCAGGGTGGGGGTAAGAGTACTGCTGTGGAGGAGGGGAAGCCATGTGCAGGCTTAGTCCCTGGGGTGCTATGAGAAGGCCAGGGATACATTTGCTCTCTCCCTTCCTATCCCCTACTTTCTGTTGGAAATCACTGATGCAGAGCCAAAAAACAGCCCCCCCAAATTCTGCCTCTGCTGCTGCCTCCAGCCCTCTTACTACGCGCTGACTAAAATGCCCCTGCAGTGAGTGGGCTGGGGTGAGAGAGGCGAGGAGAGGACACAGGAGGGACAGCTGACCCCAATGGACCAGAGGGATATTCCATACCACGTAGTGTCATGCGCAGCAACAAAACTGGGGTGAGGGGAGTTTTTTTCCAAGGTACCATTGCTCGAGGACTGGCTGGGCATCGATCTGCTGGTGGGAAGTGGTGAGTGAATGCTTTTGCATCACTTTTTCTCTCTCTCTCTCTCTCTCTCTCTCTTTCCTTCACTCATTAAACTGTCTTTGTTTTGACTCACAGAGGTGGGGTGTTTTTTTTTTTCCTCACTTTTGCTTTTCCATTTCTCTCCCCCATCCTGCTATAGAGGCAGTGAGTGGGTCAGCAGCTGGTGGGTGCTTAGCTGCTGGTCAGGGTTGACCCACCACAATCCAGAGAATGGAAAACCAATAGAAAACAAATATCTCCTCTTGCAGTTTTTAGGTGACCCTCCAGCTCTGCAGTCCAAGATGCTCTGCAGTGACCTATGGGCCAGGGAAGTGGAGACAGCTCGGCTGCAGGAACTGACAGCAGGAGGAATTGCAAAACCGAGCTCCTTCCTCTGCCTCTAATCTCCTTGCCTGGTCTGTGCTGCAGCTTCTCCCACAAATGTTAAAGAAGCCTCTCAGCTCTCCAGAAGAGTCATCCCTGTTTTTCCCGGCAAGCCAGAAAGAAAGGATCCCTCATCTACACCACAAACAACCGGCTGAGGTAATGTACAGAAACTGTTTCTCACTAGTATGCCAACTGGGCTGTCGTCCCCAGGTTGAGGTGCCTCAAGGACTGAAGTGCTGAGAAAGAGCTGTCTTGAAGCAAAGGAAAGGGCAGACATTTGTGCAAGGGCCCCTTTTGCCGGGATGGAAAAAGGTGCAGCTTGCAGGGCAGGGGGACATGCAAGGGCTCCTCCTGGGTGCAACCCTCCCCCCTTTACTGCGCAGAATCAAGAAATTATGGAGCTGGTCTCTGGTTGAGACTTTTCCAAGGAGACGGTGGTGTGGCAGTGCAGTTAAAGCAAGTGCTCTGCTGAAGGACAGGAGATGGTTTTGGCTGCTCAGGAAGTTGCAGCTCCGTTCCCACAGCTGTGCGTGCTGATAGAGGGCCTGGGCAGCCCCATCGCCAGTGCTGCGCCAGAGCAGCGCCTGGTCCTCGGGCAGGAGGGAGGCAAAGCAGCAGGAGAGCAAATGCTGGAGGGTCCACAGGTGAGTCCCAGGGAAGCGGTGTCCACTGGGGATCAGCACTCTGGGTAGCCACATCTGTGCAGGAGAAGCTCTTTTTCACATGATTCATGCTCCTACCTTGTGAATCCAAATCAAGCAGAGGGCTCAGCTGGCATTGGGTAAGGGCATATTCAGGGAGCCTCTTCCAGCACACGGCTTTCCTGGGCTGGGGTGGGTGTGGGTATGCAGGGACGTGAACACCACAGAGCTGCTGCTTTTGCAGCGGTGAGGGCAGCAATGCCACCCCAGCAGAGGAGGCACGGCCATGAGGAGGTATATGAATCAGGCTCTCCCTCCCACAGAGCAGGATGAGATGAGCAAAAGGGCAGAGACGGTGTCTCCTTGCTGAGCCTGCTGCCCTCCAAGAACAAGATGACAGGGTGGATGCTGGCAATAGGTGTGGGACTCATGTCTCCCATCCTTCCAGGGAGGAGCTGTGGGGCTCAGAAGGCTTCCAGAGGGTCTGGGGTGGGGGGGTCCCAGCTCTGTTGTGAACGGTGCTTGCGTGGGAAGAAAGGCCATGTGTAGGTGTGTGCCTGTGCCCACACCTCTCATCTCTCCCCTCCAGGCCATGCGGGTCCTTGCCCTGCTCTCGCTCATCCTCCTGGCCCTGCTGTCCCCAGCCAGCACTGCTGACCCAGGCCAGCCCTGCCCATCAGAAATGAACAAGGTCAAGGACCTCCTGGAGGTGAACTGCACAGGGCAGGCTCTCAGCGCGGTGCCCACAGACCTGCCCGTGCACACGGGCATCCTTCTGCTCAACGCCAACCACCTGGTGTCCCTCTCCACCGCTGCCTTCCTGCCCCTCACCCAGCTGCAGGACCTCGACCTGTCCAACAACGGGCTGGAGTCTCTGCACACCAAGCACCTGCTGCCATCCCTGAGGGAGCTGATCCTTTCCCACAACGCGCTGGGGGCCCTGCCCACCCTGCAGGGGCTGCCTCAACTCACCCGCCTGGCCGTGGCCTACAACAACCTGGAATCGCTGGCCCCAGGGGCTTTCAGGGCTGTGCCGCAGCTGCAGGACCTGGACCTGCGAGGAAACCGGCTGCGGACGCTGCCTCGGGAGGCCTTTGCGGGGCTGAGGGAACTCAAGGACTTGGACCTCTCAGACAATGTCCTAGAGGAGCTCCCCAAGGACCTGCTGCAGGAGCTGCAAAAGCTGGCGATCCTCTGGCTCTCAGGGAACCGCCTGCAGACCCTGCCCACCCACTTCTTCCCTGAGGGGCAGTTCTTTGCGTATGTCTTCCTCACTGAGAACCCCTGGCACTGCGACTGCGGCCTGCGCTACCTGCGGAACTGGATCAGGGATAATGAAGGCAGTGTCTATCAGCCAGAGCGGGGCCTGGAGAAGACAAAGGTGGAGGTTGCCCCTGAGAAGGTGCTGTGCCACAGCCCCCCTGAGCATTGGCAGAAGCCCATTATCCGCTTCAAGCCCAAGTGCGGCAACATGGGGGACGCGGATGAGGAGGAAGAAGAGGAAGAAGAGGAAGAAGAGGAAGAAATGAGGGAGAAACCTACCACGATCACTTTCTTCCCTCCACATCCATCCACTCCCAAAGAGCACACTACCATGCCTCATGCTGTTACCTGGCCTCCCCCCACTACCACAAGACCTCCTGTCGGCACCCCTTGTTGCTCCACTCTTGCCCCAGGCACTTCACTTGCAACGCCTGCAAGCACCAGAGCTCCCAGCACCACCACTCCTGCACTAGCCAGTCCCGCCCTGACACCCACACAGACACCCAGCATGGCCGCCACTGTCACTGCTGCTCCCGCCAGCACGTCGCACAGATCCACCACCCTCGTCTCCACCACCTCACTGCCAACCACTATGAGCACCAGACCTCCCAGCACCAGCAGCAGTCCCCAAACCACCCTTGCCGCTGGAACTACCAACACCTATTCCACTCTCATGGTGTCCCCCGGCGCATCTTCCACCACCTCCACAGCAGTGCCTTCTACTGCCACGCTAGAGGCCTCTTCCACTGTTAGATCTTCATCTCCTCCTCTGACGTCAACCACACCGGTGGTCTCCACCACCATGTTTTCCACTCATGCCCCAACACCGCCAGCTCCCCTGGACACCACAAACTTCACCCAGCCTGCACCTTCCCCTCCACCTCCATCTGTGCCCCTCTGCCCGTGCTCCACCCCAGGACTGGTGTTACCCTTGCTGCGCTCATGGGCAGGTGGGGAGGGTCCGCAGTGGGGCCAGTGGGTGCTGAGGCATTGCTGCCTATTGCACTGGGTGCTCTACCTGGCCTCCTTGGCTCTGCTGGTCCTGACCATGCTGGCTCTAGCAGGCTGGCTGGTGTGGATGTGTCTGGTGGGAAGATCTTCCTGGCACAAGTCCCTGCAGACCCAAGAGGTGCAGTATCCACTGTTAAGCTGGAGAGAGTCGACAGGAAGCCCTGAGATGCATCTCAGCAGCTTCAAAAGCCCCCTCCAGCGCTCCACGTTCTGTACCATCAAGGAAGTAGAGTTGTGCCCTGAGGTCACTTACTGCACGATTAAAGACCTGGGGATACAGCGCAGTCCTCCTGCAAGTTCCTCCTTCTGCACCACAAAGGAGCTGTGGGTCCACCATAGTCCTCCGAATGCTTCGTTCAAGTCTTTTTCCAGGAAGCTGACGGTCCCAAGCCTCGGCTCCCTGAGGACCCCTTCTGCTTACAGTCTGGACAGGGGTGTCAAGGCCATTGGTGATGTCAGAGTGAAATATGCTGGCAACACCTTGTAAATGCTTCTGTATTCTTCAGAGAAAGAGATGGAGAGTCGTGGCTCTGCTTCACGTACATTTGTTTTACAGAGGAAAGATCTGCTTGCTCAGGGGAAGCCATCCAGCCCCTTCCCCTAGCATTATTCTCACATACCCTGAGGCTTCTAGATCTGAAATAATTACTTGGGTACTTGGCAGGGGGAGAAGATGTCCTAAAGTGGTCAGTGATAGTTTGGGGCTGATGTTGCCTGGTTTCAGGGTGGGAAAGCAGAGCTTACTTTGTACACTGTGTCCCAACTGCTTCTGTTCAAATGATGCACATAAAGATGCACTATGCTTTCACTTCAGTGCCAGGTTGTTAATCACAGAATAAATAGTCTCTTTGTCTGAATTTCAAATGGGTGCTGGTTTCATTTCATTGGGCCTCCCATAGTCCTGGCAGGGTATGGTGAATGACAAAGTTGTCTTCAGTACTTGGAATAGTGAAGATAGAGAGCAAAAGGCCACTTATACCCAGCTTCCTGACTTTTGTCCCAAATGTTTGATCCTTCACTGTGGAATTATGTGGGAAAAAACATCCCGCTGCATGTCATAGAATCATAGAATCATAGAATCACAGACTGGTTTGGGTTGGAAGGGACCTTAAAGATCATCTAGGTCTACCCTCTTGCTGCGGGCAGGGACACCCTCCACTAGCCCACGTTGCCCAAAGCCCCATCCAACCTGGCCTTGAACACTGCCAGGGATGGGGCCTCCACAACCTCTCTGGGCAACCTGTTCCAGGGCCTCACCACTCTAACAGTAAAAAATTTCTTCCTTAGATCTAATCTAAATCTACCCTCTTTTAGCTTAAACGCATTACCCCTTGTCCGGTCACTACACTCCCTGAGGAACAGCCCCTCACCATCTTTCCTGTAGGCCCCTTCAGGTACTGGAAGGACGCAATTAGATCTCCCCGGAGCCGCCTTTTCTCCAGGCTGAACAACCCCAACTCTCTCAGCCTGTCCTCATAGCAGAGGTGCTCCAGCCCTCGGATCAGCTTCATGGCCTCCTCTGGACTCTCTCCAACAGCTCCATGTCTCTCCTGTACTGGGGCCCCCAGAGCTGGGTGCAGTACTCCAGGTGGGGTCTCACCAAAGCGGAGTAATAATTATTTTTTTCCTTTATCAGATACTTTTATGACATCTTGGGACATTTTTCAGCCCCTTCTGGTCTTGTATAGCAATGTTGGTGATTAAGGATGCCTTTTCTTGTTTTGTAACTGTGCTGTTTCTCACATTCCTGTGCTTACACTCTGTGGAGGGGCAGCATGCATCAGCTCTCATCTCTCCATGAGATTTAACTTCCTTTTGACACTTCTCCCACAATGTCATGGCATCCAGGTTAGGCCATCAAGCTCTGAAAGGCCGGAGAATTGCACAGGTAAAAAGCGGTGTGAAGGTCAGGAACAGTTACTAGCGGTTAATGACTCATCCTCCACTTGGACGCTGGTAACGTGTGAAGTACCACACACAGAGCTGTGCTGCAAACACTTCTGTTTAACATTTTTATCAATGACATGGAGGAGTGACCGAGCGTGCTTTTATCGTGTTGGCAGATGACGCCAGGTCGGGAGGGATCAGTTCATATGCTTCCATAGGACTACCATTCAGGGAGTACCATTCGCCCTGGAGAAACGGATTGACAGAAACCTGATGAAAGCCAACAAGGACAAATGCAAAGTCATATATGTTGGAAGAAAGACCCCAGCAATGCTGGTGGGAGACAGACTGTGGGGGAGCAGACCTATGGAGAAGGACCTGTGTGTCTCAGTCGACGGAAAAGTGAACAAGATCCAGCGGTGCACCCTGGCAGCAAAGAGAGGGCAACAGAAGCCTGGGCTGGGTTAAGAGGAAGGAGCACAGCCAGTTAACCAAGGGAAGTGATCATCCCCCTCTGCTCAGCGCTCATTAGACCACATCTAAAATACTGTTTTGGGAAGCCGTGAGAACCTGCAACCCTCCCCTACGCATCCCAGGATTCTCAAGTCCCTCCCCAAAGGTACCACTGGTACCCCAATATCTCCCAGAATCCCCATTACCTCCACCTCTCCTTGCAAGTCCTCTGTAGTATTCTCCCCTGTCTCCACACACCAAGCAGTCCAGGTCATTCCAGGAAGCCAAGACCTACCAGAACCACGTAGGAACCCCAAAGCCCACATGATCGCCCAATGTCCCCCATCTATCCTGCCATCTACCCCAGAACCCTGGTACCCACAGGACTCTCCTCTTCCCTCAGGATCCCCCACATACCCCAAGATGCTTCTCAATCCCGAGACACACATACCCTCTCCCGTGCCCAATGAATGCAGGCACCCAGGTTCCAGTGCCATCCACCCACCGCTCCCCAGGGGACCCAGGAATCCAGGCAATCATGGTCCCCACCACCATCCATCCAGCACACTCAGGCCATTGGTCTCCTGCTCTCCTGTTTCTTGCAAGAAGCACTTGGATGTCTGGGTTCAACAGCAGAAACAAGAAGACCAAGATGGGCAGTTCAGGAGCCACTTTTATTTAACCCAGCTATGGGGGATGGGAGTGGAAACTGGGGGATCCCCACCTCCCAGTGAAGGGCTCAGGGCAGGGGAGTGCAGGGTTGCAGTGTGGGGAGACTTTGTGTCCCACGGGGTCCCCACATTCTAGGACATGTGGGGTTGCTGGAACTCACTGTGGAGGAGAGATCTGGGGGCAATTTTGTCCCATAGAGGTGCCCATAGATGCTACCTGGGGATCCCAGTATGAGGTGCAGAGCTTTTAAGCCCCCCTAAGTATTATTGGGAGTGTCAGGTGATCTTGAAGGATCCTCAGGGTAGGCGGGGCCACGCAAGGCAGGGGGTACAGTGAGGACACAGGCTTGGAGATCAGTATAGGCATGGGGCAAGGTGCCCCGGGTGATCCAGCGCCGAGTGCCTGGCTGGTAGGCATGGATCAAGTGGGTGTCACGGTAGGTCTCATGACTGTACCCTCCCAGTACGAGCAGTTCCCCCCCGAGCACAGCTGCACCCCCAACTACATGGGCATGGGGCAGGGGGCTGAGGAGGACCCAGATGTCCAGCTTGGGGCTGTAGACCTCAAAGGCTAGCTGGTCCCTGTAGCCAGTCTGCCCATCCCGCTGGCACAGACCACCAGCCACATAGAGCTGCCCACCTGCCTCCTCCATGATGTGTCCAGCTCGCTGGCCATTCATGGGGGCCAGGACTGTGGCAGGCGCACCCGGCATGTAGCGCAGCAAGGACGTCTGGCACTGGAATGCCTCATCACACCCCCCTGACACGTAGAGGGCACCATCCAGGGCAGACGCCGCATGCCCACACAGAGCCATCGGCAGGGGCTGGCACCTCCTGGGCAAGAAGAGAAGCAGGGGATGAAGGGCAGGGTAAGCAGGGCAGTCCCATGGTGACTGCCTGCCCAGGAGTTCCCCAGTGAGTCATGGCTCCATTGAACGCTCAGCAGGCAATGTCGGCCAACATCCAATGAGCCCCAGTGGGCAGCATCAGCTAACACATAATGAATGCCCAAGAGGCATCACTGTTCAACACTTTGTAGACCCCAAAAGACACCATTTGTCAGCCCACAGTGGACTCCCTCAATGGACAATATTGACCAACACCCAACAGAGCACCCAATGAACATAGCTGAAAGATGTTTAAATGATTCGTCTCACTGGCAGATGGCCAACAGACCCTCAGTGAATACTATTGGCCAAAAACTCATTCACCACCTCATAGGCAGCACTGGCCAACACCCAATGACCCCCAAGGGACATGGTTGCTCAACACCTAGTAGACCTCTCCCAAAGGCCACCGTAGGTCCATTCTCCATTGGGGGCTCAGTGACCCAAAGACCACTCAATGGCACCACTGGCCAATGCAAGGGGCTGCTAGGGCAGAGGAAAGCAGGTGTCCAGGTGAACTGGTCTCACCTCCAGGTGTCATTGGCCAGGTCATAGCACTCCACGGTGTCTGTACAGTAGAGGTCACCCGAGCTGCCCCCCAGGGCATAGATGAAATCCCCGAGTGCCGCAGCTGCGAAATAGCTCCGCCCACAGGTCATGCTGGCCAGGCGCTCCCAGGAATCATCCATAGGCTGATACCTGGGTTTGAGAGGTAAAGGGGGCAAGAGACTACCTGTTACCTCCAATGCCATGAGGTGATGTTGGCACCACTGAGGTCAGCAAACAGCCAATCCCATAATGCCTTGAGGCCACATGGTCCCCTTGCAGGGGAATATCCCCTCCTTCTGCGCAACACCAAACCCATAATGCCTTGAGGCATCTCTAGATAGGAGCCTCCCTGCCCTACTCCTAAAAAGCCTGTAACATCCCTGAGTGGGAGGGCACCAATCCCAGAATGCCTTGGGGCCACTTGACCAACTGCAATGCCACAATGCCTTGGCTCCATGAGGCAGCTCTAGCTCTGTCAACACTTCCTCTGGTCCCACAATGTCCTGGTACCATGTGGCACTTCTAGGTCCTCTGTAGCTCTCACCTGTAGACACTGGCCAGGGTGTCACGGACCCCATAGTAGCGCTTTCCACCCAGGACGTAGAGGATGTTGCCCACCACAGCTACAGCATGGCGGAAGCGTGGGCCATCAGGAAAATGTCCCAGTGCCCGCCACTCCACCTGCTTCACCAGCCCCACAGCACTGAGATAGCGGTGGGCAAACCAGAGGTGTCTGCTGGGCTTCCGGGCAGCCATGTTGGTCGTCAGTTTGTCTCCACCACAAACCACCAGCACCTCTTGCAAGGAGCGCACTCGGCATGGCAGCTGGGCCATGGGGGACAAACTTGCTACCACAAGCTCGTGGAGGACCTTTGGGTCAGCTACCCCTGCAGTCACTGATGGGACCTTCTTCAGCTCCTGGCCAGACATGAGGGCAAAGCGAACAGATGACAGGACTTCTTTGGCTAGATCTTCTTGGTCATCTCTATTAGCCATTAGCCACCGGGATGCTGCTTCCAAGGCCTCCAGTTCGTGGAGGACATTGAGACCGTCAGAGCGGAGGAGGCGGATGAGAAGGTGAGCAGGAAGATCCAGGAAGGCCTGTGTGGCCACCACACTGGGGAAGGTGGCCAAGATGTAGTCCTCTGCTACACGGCCCACCTGGGCCAGCCCGTAAGTCACAGCAAAGGCCAGCACGTCCAGGCCAGTTTCTGGGGTCAGGCCATGGGTGAAAACATCCAGGCAGAGGGTGAGCAGCCCCCAGGCCTGGTAGCGCAGGGAGGTCTCAGCTGCCTCCAGGACCGCGGGCCACGGCCCTCCCTGTGTAGGCAAAGGAGAGGAGGAGGCGCAGCTCGGCCGGGGACAGCCCTGTGGCCAGTGGGGCGGCGGGGTCATGGGTGGCCTCCCGCATGGGGCAAGTGAAGAGGGCCCGGAAGAAGTCACAGGAGCAGCTCAGGGCCAGGCGCTGAACTGGGGAGAAGGAGGAAGAATGGTGGGGCCAGTGGGGGACCCTTTGCACCGTGCAGCCCCCTGAGAACTCAAAGTGTCCTGGGCCTCCCCACAACCCCCAGCTCCCCTGAGGAGACAAGCCCTGTGGACACCTCTAGCTCCTCATCCCAGCCTAGTATCCCTGCCAGGGGACCCAGCTGTCCCAGCGTGCCCCGTCCCCCCTGCCCAGCCCGTGCGCCCCCCTGCCCCCGTCTCCCCTGGGATGACCTCGTCCCCTGCCCGGAGCTGGAGGTCACAGCCCAGGCCACTGGCATGGAGTTGCTCCATGGCTCTTAGTGTCTCCCACTGCTCCTCCAGGGGCTCAGGACCCCCCTCCTGGGGGTCACTCTCCAGCTGCGGGGCACAGGCAGCCATCACCCGTGGGGCCCCCAGGACTCTGGCGGCCTCTTCTACCTCCATCTCCCGGC